AACTACAGGGCTTATAGGGATTATAGGAGATGAAAAGAACAAACGCCATCCCCAAACCGTGCAATCGCCTCGTAGGAGAATGAAGGTACAGATTGTTCAGGCGATTCCGCAGAGGACACGGTTTGAGGTATAGGGTCTAGCGTGTTGGGGTTTAGGGTCTAAACTCCTACTATCCCGTTTGCTAGCCCCTATAATAGTCCCCTATATGATCCCCCCTTTATAACCACCTTTGAGGATTTTCGGCATCCGTTCCTACCTGAAACCTAAACCCTAAACCCTAAACCTTTGGCCGAGCTACCAGGATGATCTTCATGGGAGCCATGCGGGTCAGGTACCTGGTCCATGCGTTGGGGTTTGAGGTTTAAAGGTTTAGGGCTTAGGGTTTAGGGCGTGGAGAACATCCAAGGGAGCATGTGAAATTTTGAGGGCGGTACCCAATAAAGATGTACTTGCCCAATACCTGCACTACAATTCCTAGTACACAAATCCCAAATACCCCATGATTTGCAGGTACTTGGACCCCCCGGAGTACCAACCTAAACTCAGAATCTAAGCCCGGAACTATAAACCTAGATCGTGAATCCTAAACTGTAAGCCCCTAGTTATTGGGGACTTTGGACCCTTACCGGAACTGACCCTGCATGATCGATAGAGGGGGGAGCAACCCTAAAACATCCCGCCTCCCTGATATTGAATAGTTCGAGTATATAATCATATGCCACAATGGAAACGGGGGTTAGTTTTATGGGGAGGGGATTAACAACAACCTTTCCGTAAGGGGCTACTAGGGGTTAAGGTTGTATAGGGTCTGGGGTCTAGGGTTACGTAGGGTTTAGGGTCGTGGCTATGTCTTTCAAGCACCCTCGGACCTGCGCGCATTCCAAAAAATACAGGACCTGCCGACATGAAGCGAACGCCTTAATGACAAGGGGAGCTGTGTAACCCCAATCTCTAAATTCATCAGAAGTCAGGACTCTGTCCTATGACTATGACTGCAACAATTTACGAATTTGGTGTATTCTTGTAGCCGAATACAAAAAAAAACCGAACCTGGGCAACTTAAACTCATTCAGAACCCTGAGTTGAGGCCACTTTGGGTGTAATCCCCCTACCAACTACAAAAAAAGGGTGAGCTCGTTTGAGCTGGCTATCATTTGCCTAGAAACCTTGAGACCACACAAAAGGCACGGCTTATCCTCAGGGTTTAAGGTTCAGGATTTAGGGGTTTAGGGTTTAGGGTTTGGGGCTTGCATCCCTAGTTGGGATCTCAGCTCCTACACCCTCAAAGCCATAGACCCCATCCAACAACCCTGTACCCTAGCGATCTGAACAGCCCAAACTAGGTATCACATTAGCTACTCATAGACGCCAAGCTACTCATAGACGCCAGGCCCCTCGCTTCTAGACTTACATAGATGCCCCAAATACATATGAGCCATAGTCAAAACTCCTGGCATCCCCCTTAATAACCCATAGTACTCCCCTAAACAAGCCCCTTTAAGGAGTTGAGACTATACTGTAGCTCATGTGGGTGGTTGTCAAAATTATGGTCCCTTTTTTGGGTCCTGATTATAATACGGCACCTAATGTTTAGGGTACCCAAAAGGGACCATAATTTTGACAACCACCCATGTATCTGTACATGTTTGCAACATCAGAGCTCCAGGGCACTTGGCGCAAATGGCAATGTTCTCCTCGTCTGGCTCCTCGGACCTCTTCTTGGAGGTTCAGAGTAATCAGAAGCCACACGGTTGAGGGTTTAGGGTTTAGGGTTGTAACTGTACTTATAATTGAATTCTAAGCGCCCTAAGTTCCCTAATATGGTTATAACTGGGTTCTAAGTACCAGTTATGATAGTTCCCTAAACCCTTAACACTGAACCTCCAAGTACTTGTCATGATCTAAGGGGTTGCTGGGTTTAGGCTTCAGAGCTTGGGGTTTAGGGTTTTGGGATCACAGGAGTTTCAGGGATGGGGGAAAGTCCAGGATCATGGGCCATTCGGATTTAGGGGCTCCGTTTGTGTGTCTGTTGACTTTGTTTCTGTATTCTATCTGTACTTCTTCGGGAAGATCAGGGCTAGTTTTGAGGAAGCACCTGCTTTATTCACGGTCCAGGGTTCAAGGCTTTGAACTTCGTTGGCCGTTGGCGCGGCAATGCTGAAAGCCACTAGGGCGAGATTATCCCAACAAGACCTCTATATAACCCCAAGACCCCAATGGTAATAGTAGTTTCCGTCGTATTTTCCATTTATGTGAATATACCCCCTTTTTATCCCCAATACTGTAGTAGTTTCCATTTTAAGTCATTTCCAAGCCTCCAAGTACCATGTCACAGTCGCGGCCAAATAGCTAAGACTCATTTTCGAACGGGTAAGCGAGGTTTTGCGGGGCAGGCAATCGTACAAAGGACCTGCAAAGGTAAACCCCTACCCTTCCGAACAACCGCATGACCCCGCCCTAAGATGAACTCCCATGGTTCAGAGGGGAACAACGCACAGCAACTGGATTTACATAAGAACTGTGCACATCGAAGGCAGTGCTTGTTGCACACAGAGCAATGCCGATCCTGACAGCTACCACAATGATAGCACGTAGAGATGAATTGCACAACAATACCCTAAGGCTCCATGTAGGTACTATTTTTTAAAGGGTTTGGGGCCCAATGTAGGTATTATTTATAGACTTAGAGCCCCAGGGATACTGAAAACTAGTCTTGATGACTGAGCACAAGTTTTCATGGCCCCGGGCAGATCCAGCATGTGTGATGAGAACAGTGGTTCGCCATGCTCCTGTGCGTTTAACCTTTGGGGCTCAGGCTCAGGCCATTCCTGGTTTGGGGCTTAGGGTTTGAAGCTCCCCGTTTCGGGCTCAAGCGTCGGCTGTAAGGTCTCGGAGCTCGGGCGTAAGGTTTCGGGTAGGGTGCCTAGGATCGGGGTTGAAGGTAAGGTTACGATTGCAATTCAGATGTGATTTCGTTTTTGGGTCTTAATACAACACAAATTGAGATTTATAGCCAACAATGACCAAGCCTAGAAGGAAATCGAGAACACAACTCAAGCCCAAGTACGAACTTCTTGACTAGTAGAGAAGACAACGCCGGGAACGACAAAACACCTTAAACCCTACCTCGGGAGTTCAACAGAGAGGATGCTAAAATGTACCCGTTGCTTCACAGATAGAGATAACCCAAAGATCTGAGGACTGCGCAGCAAAAATGCAGAAGCAACTTCAAATCCGTGCGATTTCTATGGGAATATTGCAGTTGCTACGGTCATCAAAAATGTTTAAAAAACACGACGATTGGACCGTCATCACTCTTGCTGTGGTCGCGCTGATTAACACTACAGCCACTTTGATTTACACGCCTGAAACTTAAGGAGTACTGTAGCAAGAGCCCTGCTCCTCGCTCGGAAACTGCTATGCTGTGCCGCGTTTGCACTTATCCGCGCCGAGTGTTAGACTAAGAGCGCCAAAACACCCCTAGGCCCTAGCCCGCTTCTGACCCCAAGCCCTGAAAAGCCCCAACACCCTAAACCCTTTCAAGCCCTGAATATGGGTGGTTGTCAAAATTATGATCCCTTTTTGTTACCCTAAATATTAGGTGCCGTATTATAATAGGGACCCAAAAAGGGACCATAATTTTGACAACCACCTATACGAAGCTATTTCGTTGACAACCCTGCTCCTTGAAGAATGCCTCGTCAGCTTCAAGCATGCCTCTGCAAGCACGGCTTGCCAGACAAGTCCGTTTAGGGTGTTTCGTTCAGGGTTCAGGAAGGTCATACTTGGGGTCAGGGGGACTAAGTAAGTAGGTTAACAACGGGATAACTTGGGTTATTAAATGGTTTTCTACAGGTGTAAGTATACTTACTAGGTGTCCCAGTGCCCCTCTGAACCTGAAGTACCAGGTCCACTGGGGATGTTGCAGCGACTGACGGTCGGGGGTCCCCTAGCAGCCCCCTGCTTCACTAGCGGTTCCCCTGTCATTAGCCCGGTAAACTAGCCTTAATTAGCCGTAATTATCCGTGAGCCTTGGGGGTACATTCTCAGCACATCAACCCTAACACCCATAAACTCCTTAAAGGGGGGTAATACATGGATGACATAGGGGAGGATTATGGTGTTATTGAAAATTTAGACAGTAGCTCAAATGTGCCTTTGAAGCAAACCGCTGAGGCCGGAACCATCGAACCACGGCAGCAATTTCTTTGCGCAATGGTCCGAATGCACGAGGACCTGGGGGTGGAGGAGTTTGTAAGGGGACACATAGATATCAATCTATTACTAGCAGTAACACCCTAAACCCTAAACCCTAAACAATACTAACAATGATCGTAATAGAAACAATTTAGATCCTCGGAAGGGGGCGTAGGGATGGGTGCAGGGCTGAGGGTTTTGGGGCCCCATATGGGTTTGGTGTGTCAACTTTTGGGAACTTTTTGGGGCTATCCAGGA